CAGGTGTCGTGCCTTCCGCTCAGACTTGTCCTCTTCCTCTTCGGCACCCAGCGACCCCTTGGACATCGCAGTCACAGGTCAGAGGGCTCCTGTCCAGAGCGGCTATTTATTTTAGATAAAGGGGAATTAAATAGAAAGAACTGGGCCCCGCGTGGTGGCGCGCTCTCTGAGAGTCTGTCTCCAGGGGCTGACCCCCTAGCCTAGTGGTTCCCACAGGCCAGTTGCAGGTGGGGGCCTGGCCTCTGTGGCCTGAAGAGTGGGCCAGGCACGTGTGTGTGCATGCCCCAGGCCCAGCCGGATGAGAGACGGAGAGGAAGTAGCATGGCCGCTGTCTGTCGGGGCGGTGCTCTCGCCTTCTCTGTTTCTCTGGGGCCAGCACACATGCCCTCTGACAATTGAAAATTGAAAAAGACACTGTGCCCCACAGGCTGGGACACACGGGAGGCCTAAAGCCTGGACCTGGACATGAGTGACTCTAACCCCGGCCACTCGGGGTGCTGAGGCAGAAGGGTCCAGAGCTCAAGGCTGGCCCGGACTGCCACCCTGTCCGACACTGTGGGGATGGCGTGCCCACCTGTGGTCCAGCTGGGAGGCTGAGGCAGCTAGTTAGAGCACAACGGGATGGGGACGGGAGCTGGCCAAGGACAAAGTGAGAGGCCACACGGGGACACGTGTCTCCACCAGAGGAGCCAGGGCAGGGTGGTGCCATCGCTAGGCTGGAGCCCACAGGGAGGGGTCGGTGTTCTGGGGCGGCGAGGGTCACCTTCCGGGGAAGGCTCAGAGGTGTAGACGCTCCCCTGTCCGGGGTGGGGACACAGGAAGTGCCCTGGACCTGCCCCACTGCCTGATTCCTGCCTCAGTCCAGTCTCCCCCAAGAGTGCGGATTGGCCCAGCCAGCTTGGTCCCGGGGTGGCCTGTGCTCCGGGCGTCCATCCTGCCTGGCGGGGAAGGTGGAGGAGTATCTGCAGGGCTGTGGAGGGGCGTCTCTCTCTTACACATACATAAACACACAAACTTTTCTTTGGAGAGGTTTTTGCTATTGAGCACATGTGCTCGCCAGAAAGAGAGACAAAGAGACAGAAAGCAAGAAATCACCCCCCAGGGGGGATGGCCACACTCCAATCCCTTCTCCTCCATTCTCTTCTTGGGATATTGGGCACACATGCACACGCACCTACGTGAGTTTAAGCCACCGGGTCCAGGACTTGAACTACAGTCGACTACATGGGAATCCAGCAACATAGCCATTATGCCAACTGCTCATCCCAACATGTAGACATTTTATAGTGGGGAGCACGAACCAGTCTGGTAGGAGCTGACAGCCTCTTCCTTCTCAGGAGTCTACAGAGAACCTTCCCTCCTAGTCCAGCCAGTCCCCCTGGTGAAATCAGGAGGAAACATGACTCTGCAGTGTCGCTCAGAGATCGTGTTTGACAGCTTCGTCCTGTACAGAGAGGGGCTAGTCGGGAAATACTTGCACCTTGCCAGTCAGCTCCATGATGGGGGCTCCCATGCCAGCTTCTCCGTGGATTTCGTGACATCTAACCATTCAGGGATCTACAGATGCTATGGTTATCTTGCTCAACACCCTTTCAAATGGTCAGCCCCCAGTGACTTCCTGGTCATTGTGGTCTCAGGTGAGTACCCAGACCTGTATCCACCCTCTTTGGGATACAGTATGGTATCCTAGAATCTGGGAGCACCATGTGGTGGTCGGGGATATGAGTGTGGGGCTCCAGTGAAGAGAGACAGACGTGATGAGAGCTGTGCCAACAGCAGCCAAGGGAAAGGAGACACAAGTACAGACCACTTGTCATGACGTAACAGACAGATATGGGCAGAGACGGAGTCAGAAATGAGACGAACAGAGAGACAGACAGACAGACATATAAACACACTTCAGAGAATGGTGCCCTTGCTCAGAGACCTGAGTTTAGGAGTTGAGATTCCATTTTACCTCAATATTCTCTTTCTGTCAGGAGAACCTGACATCACACATATATCTGACCCATGTCACAGGGCCAGCTGGCCTGCCTCAGGTTGATACCCCTGGGCCCTTGTGGTACCCACAGATGCTGTGTTTCTTCTGACACCTCTTCCTCCATGCAGTTGAGTCATAATTTGCCCTGGGTATGATCCTGGGTGAAGGGGCAGGACACAGCCCCTGTGAGCTACACTGGGTGCTCAGTCTCAAATCTCTAACCCCAGATATTATGGGATTATTGAGGACAGAATCCCACAGAGAGATTCAGTCAGTGAGAAAGAAGAGTCAAAAAAAAAGGCAGAAAAACGGCCAGCCCTTGATAATGTTGTTAAGGGAACTGGCTCTCACATGGCCACCCCACTGTTCAAGTCCCAGACTTAGCAGCTAGAAAAATATGTTGGGTATGTGTGGGTAAGTGCCCCAAATCCCAACAGAATGGATAAAATGGAGGAGAAGGGATTGTGGCATGATCATGCCCCACTGGGAGTGGGGCTTTCTTCCTCCCCCTCTCTCTATCTCTGTTTCTCTCTCTGGTGAGTAAATGCATCCTGTAGCAAATGCTAAGCAAAGCAAGCCAGACTATGAAAAGCAGACCTTTGTATGACCCTACTCAATATATACTGAATGGCTGAACTCTACAGCGGAAGACTAGAAGGTAAAATAGCAGGGAGGGCAACTGTTGATAATAGAGACAGGGGATTGTAATGAGTGGGTGATAGTGGAGAACGGGGAAGAAATAGAGGGGAACAGGGAAAAAAAACAATATGTTTAATAGAAACAAAAATGAAGTTATTTGCTGATGATAGTATATAAGATAATGTCTTTGTGGAACCAACCCAAATATCCACAAACAGATGAATGGATTGAAAAAGTGTGGCACATGTACCCATGAATACTATTCGGCCATAAAAATATCAACAAGACCCTGGCATTTTTTTTTTGAAAGATTTTTGCTGTAGGGAGTGTGCACTCACCAGAAAGACAGAGAGAGACATAGAGACAGAAAGTGAGAAATCACCCTCCCAGGGGGATGGCCACGCCGCAATCCCTTCTCCTTCACTCTCCTCTTGGGATCTTGGGCACGCATGCACACGCGCCCGGTGTGAGTTTAAGTCACCAGGTCCGGGACTCAGACCGTGGTCGACTACATGGGAGTCCAGCAACATAGCCATTATGCCAACTGCTGGTCCCTAAGACCCTGGCATTTGATAGAAAGTAGATGAATATGAAAGATTTGTTGCTAAGTGAAGCAAGTCTCCACTTATACCGACTGTCGGCACTCTATGGTAGAGACTGAAAGACTGGAGGACATAAAAGCATTGAAAATTGTTACGGACATTAGGGACAGTGGAAGGAGAGTGGGAGAGGGGAAGAGTGTAGGAAAGGAAATTCGGGGAGAAAATAGAGAGGGACATTTGTGGGACACAGAGAAAGTTTATTACCTATTGATGGTGACGTGTGTAGTGTTCTCAACTGGGCTAGTCATGTATATCATGCTGGGTGAAGTCTCTTTACAATCTAAATGATGTCTAGTGATTAAATGTATAAATAATAATAATAATAATAAATTTTTAAAATAAATAAAATTAATAAAATTAAAAGTCAATGGGAAAAAAAGGAAAAAAAGATAATGTCTTTGTCTTGACCAACACACACTGTATTCATGCTGGCAGGCAAAACATGTTTTGTACTCTATAAACATATGTGGTGATTAAAGATAAATACTAAATATTTAAAAAGAAGAAAGGAAAGGAAAGACATAGGAACACATACAGAGTGCACCAGAAGGAGAAGAGAGAAGCGAGGACAAGGAAGTCACATCCTCATTGCAGGTGTGAAGGACACTGGAGTAAGGAAGAGCTGCCCCAACTGGTCTGTTTCATTGTCTTCCAGGCCTATACAATAAACCTTCCTTCTCAGCCCAGCCGAGCCCTGTGGTGACGGCAGGAGAGAACGTGACCTTGACCTGCAGCTCCAAGCACTCCTTTGACAAGTACCATCTCTCCAGGGAGGGGGAGGCCCATGCGCACCAGCTCCCTGCAGTGCAGCGTGACCGTGGAGTGTTCCGGGCTGACTTCAGTCTAGGCCCAGCAATCTCAGGCCACAGCGGCACCTACAGATGCTACGGGTCTTTCAAGGAGTCTCCCTATAAGTGGTCAGCCCCCAGTGACCCAGTGCACCTTTCCATCCCAGGTGAGGAGCCCACACCTGTGCTGTGTCTTGTGACCCAAATTAAATTCTAAAGATTTTGCAAGGGACACATGATGCTGGAGAGAAAGAATAGGAAAATACAGAGAGAAGAAAAGACGGAATGAGAGGAGGTACCAGGGTGTAGGACGGCAGCCAAATCAACTCCAAAACCCTCCTTCATATCTTGCGCAGAGGCTCACACTAGGGGTCTAAGTATCAGTGGAGATGGAGAAGGGGCTCAGGGAAGGCCTGAGGAGGGGGAGAGGAGAGGAGGGGCGTCAGCTCCTCACCCTTATCGTCTCCCAGAAGCTCCTCCTGGCCTCTCATACACAGACTTCCTCTCCACGGTCTTTCTTCACCATCACCTCGGGTCTGCTCTTTACACCAGGAAAGCCTAGTGAGGAAGTCATCACCCACAAGGTTATGGGTAAGGGGGCCCAGGGTTCCCAAGGCTCAGCATTCAATGGCAGAGCATTGGCCATGGACCAACCTCAAAGGAACTTAAATAGGGTGGAAGACAGGCAGGGTCTCTCACCTCTCCCCTGCTCTGTGTTCTAGAAAACTCTTCAAGAAGTTGGCCGTCGCCCACAGAACCACACTTCAAAGCTGGTGAGTAAAGGGTCTTGCTCATGGAGACCTGGAGAGAGGGAAGCCTTGGGTTTGAGCGTCAGCTCAGCCACCTCCTAGCTCTGTGACATTGGACTTGTCATCATCCCTCTCTGACCCCCAGACTCTACAACAGTAGAAAGCATTTGAAGCCAATGTGGGACTCTCACAGAGGACTCTTAACCTCTCATTTTCTACAACTGAAATCCCCTCCCAAGTGATGAGAACGAGATGAGAGTAGACCCAACTCCCTTCCCAGGAACAGGCTGCATTCACTCTGCCTCCATTCCTAACTGTAGAAAGATGATGCTTTAGGGAGGAGGAGGAGGGAAGAACGATCGAGGAGTTCTTGAAGAAATGCCACCTATCAGGGTACAACCCTGGCGTGCTCAGGAAAGCCAGCCTTGAGTAAGAGGGAGTCGAGCTCACTCACACAATCGACGTCTTTATTCGCTGATTCTCCCAGGTGCCACCCCACGTGCTGGCTATGTGACGTGCAGTTATGTCCCATTGCTGCTGTAACAAAGGTCTAGAGCATTAAAACCAGGAGTTGAAAAGTCACCTTCTAGTTCTTTAGGTCGGAAGCTGAAGTGAGTCTCTTAGCTAAAATCACGTTGACATCGAGGCTGCCTTCCTTCTCAAGGTTCAAGGGTAGAATGTCCTTCCTTACATGTTCCAGCGTCTACAGGTTGCCCCATGTTCCTTTGTTCATGGTCTCTTTCCTCCACTCCAAAAGCAACCATGACTTGGGACCAGCAGATGGCGTAATGCTTACATCACTGGACTCCCATGTAGTCGACCGTGGTGCAAGTCCTGGACCCGGTGGCTTAAAACTCATGCTGGGCACAAGTGTGTGCGTGCCCAGGATCCCAAGAGGAGAATGGAGGAGAAGAGACTGTGGCATGGACTTCCCCCTGGGGGGTGATTTCTCACTTTCTGTCTCTCTGCCTCTACCTCTCCAGTGAGCACACATACCCTATAGCAAAATCTCTCTTAAAAAAAAAAATAGAAAAAGATTAAGAAACCCAGCCATGACTGGTTGAGTCTTCCTCACATAGCATCACTCTGACCCGGCTTCCTTCGTCACAACTCTTGTCCTGACTTTCTTCTGCCCTCCTCCTCCTCCACATGCCTTGTAATTACATTGGGCCACCCAGATAACCCAAATCATCTTCCCTACTTGAAAGTCAATTGATTAGCAATTTTAAATCCACTTGTTACCACAAACGCTTTCCATGTACAGTAACATAACCGCAGTGATGGGCTTAGCACATGAACACTTTTGATGGAGAACATTCTTCTGTCTGGCACAATTCATCAACAGGATGAATTTGGCCTCTGCTCTTGGGTAGCCGGTATTTCAGTATGGTTAAACTCGAAGGCAGAGATGAATGGGTGAATTAATACAGGATGCATTGTGAAGCAGCTACACCTAAAATGTTAATAAGATGACAGATAATTGTTGAATGATGTGGGGCGAGTGGCAGGCCGTCTCTCATATCTCAGGCAATACTTGTAACCTTAATGACAAGTGGACTCAACTCTTGAAACGTTGGTGGAGGAATAGCCCAGACAGAGCCATCAGTCACGAAGGTACTAAGGTCTGCATACCCTCGAATTTAAAGACAAGGCTGTGCCGGAAACGCTGTGAGTGAGGCGGAAAGAACTGCAAGAGTGTGGAGAGGGGGCGTCTAGGTTTCCGCAGGGCCAG